TCACAAGTAGATGTGCACCAATGTTCTAGACTCTCTATGGAACAAAAAGGAACAATTCAACAGTAGAGTGGCGTCACAAGTAGATGTGCACCAATGTTCTAGACTCTCTATGGAACAAAAAGGAACAATTCAACAGTAGAGTGACGTCACAAGTAGATGTGCACCAATGTTCTAGACTCTCTATGGAACAAAAAGGAACAATTCAACAGTAGAGTGACGTCACAAGTAGATGTGCACCAATGTTCTAGACTCTCTATGGAACAAAAAGGAACAATTCAACAGTAGAGTGACGTCACAAGTAGATGTGCACCAATGTTCTAGACTCTCTATGGAACAAAAAGGAACAATTCAACAGTAGAGTGACGTCACAAGTAGATGTGCACCAATGTTCTAGACTCTCTATGCAACAAAAAGGAACAATTCAACAGTAGAGTGGCGTCACAAGTAGATGTGCACCAATGTTTTAGACTCTCTATGGAACGAAAAGGAACAATTCAACAGTAGAGTGGCGTCACAAGTAGATGTTTATAACATATTGATTTACAAAATGCTGTTTTCTAGAAACTCCAGATAGAAAAAAAACAAGAAAGTTTTATTTTATTTTACTGCTTGCCTTCTTTTGTTTGTTTGTTTGTTTGTTTTTTTTTTTTTTTTTTTTTTGTTTTGTTTTGTTTTGTTTTTTTTTTTTTTTTACCGTTCACGGTAGCTCAGTCGGTAGAGCGCTCGTTCCGTGATCGGGAGGTCGTGAGTTCGAATCTCGGCCGCGACAGACCTAAGTCGATAAAAAATAGGTAGCAACTGTTCCTTCGCCATGCGCTCGGCACTCTGAAGTGAAAGTTGCGGGTCCTTCGGATGAGACCTTAAAAACCGAGGCCCCGTGTCACGGCAGGCGTTGGCACGATAAAGATCCCTCACTGCTCAATGGCCCTGAGTGCCGAGTAAAGGTCAAAATTTGAAGCCCTTCACCGGTATATGGTGACATCTCTATATGAGTGAAAAATTCTCGAATGGGACGTAAAACAATATACAATCAATCAATCAATCTTTTGTTTTTGTTTTTTAAAGAAACTCTCATTGTATTACATTAATTAGATAATACTTTGTCTAAAAATATATTTTCCAAAGAAAATAAAACAAAATAAATCATGTTGTTTAATTCAGTAAAAGAAATCTTCAGAAATCCTTGAGCATATAATGATGAAATAACATTATCATGTATGGATGGAAATTATTTACTTTGATGACGAATACTTCTGTTTCATAAGAAAAGTACACACTGGATAAAATCCTGGCAGTACAGAGGTACTGTGGGTCAAGCGAAGAAAGAGAACATTGTCTGGTATTAGCCTAATATAAGACATAGCTAATATTCACAGTTCAATACATGCGTATCGAATATCTATTTAACTTGGAAAATAAGAAAATTGAAGCAGAGAGTAAACTTAATACCGTCTATAGGTTTATTAATCTCAGTCATTGTCTTGAAACTGAATAGAATAAAATGCAAATAATTCTCAGTTGTTTTATCTTTCTTCGCCATTCTATGGTATTTTAAAGTAGTAAGGACAGTTAATTTTATCAAATAAAATAATTTTTCACATTGAAATATTATTAGACAATAATCAAAGTTTTACAATGACATAATGATGAAAATTATTTTCTATTTATTCAAAGTCAGAAATAATTATTTCCCAGATAATAAATTATTCGCTGAGTTTAGGGAAAGAAATATGATGAAAATTCCATCAACGTCAAATACATGTATGATCTGGGTTATAATCTTTCCTAAATATTGCATTATTTGCTAAGGTTTAATGTAGCATCGCTTGATTTTTTTACGCATTTTAAAATCTTAAATGTGAGATTTTATCGCCTAAAGTTTTCCATAAAAAAGTCTTAAATTTTGTCAATTCAGTACACAGTTAGTGACCAGTTACTGAAGAAAAACAACAGCAAATCTTATTTACTGGATTGTGTGATTCATCTACAGGAAAAATTAACGTTTTGAATTTGAACATGCAGTTTTGATAGAATTGAATAGCATTTCTATTGAAAATAGACGACTCTGATTTGAGAATTTAGTTAGAGGCACTGTGAGCACAGAGCTCACAAAATGATACCCAAGTTTCCATATGAGTATAATGGTAAATTCCATGCTTTGATAGGGTCTGTCTGATCATAAAGTGTAAAATATGAGGTGCACGACAGCACTGTGTCTGGGAAAGTCTCGTTTAATTTTATTTAGTGGTTAAGGGGGAGTTGGGGATTAGAGATGGGTATTCCCAATATTATAAAAAAAAAATGCTGTGTCAAAGATTTGCTAAGGAAAAAAACAAATATCCGTCCGATTAAAACGTAAAATAGGAGGTGCACAATAGCACTGTGTAATAAAGATTTTGGACAAGTCATAGTACACTGTGTTAAGTGGTATAGGAGGACTTGTGGATAAGAGATGGGTACTGCCAATATTTTTGAACTAATGGCAGTGTCCATGTTTTGCTAAGGGAAACCCAAAATATGTGTCCGATCAAAACGTAAAATAGGAGGCGCACAATGGCACCCTTAATAATAACCCATAAAAAATGAAAAGCGATGGCTTGTTTTCTTCCACAAGCATATCAGTTTACTTGTAAATCATTTTACATAAGGGATATTTGTAATATATAATTAAATAATAAGTAATATATATTAAATATCTGTAGCAATGTTGCTTAAAGAAAATCGTACGTTGTCATTAATGTTTGACAAAAAATGATCATTTCTGACCATATAAGGTTGTATAGGTTCTTCCAGAGATACTTATTCATAAATTACATGACAGTACCACGTCAACTATTCTTTTCATATGATAAGATTTGTACAGTATAATTATGCCTTAGTGTAAGTTTACTTACTTTATGTACTTACTCGTACATGAGTAATGATCGTGTAAACTCATTTACTTATGTGCAAATGTTGTACGTTTATTTAAGAAATAAACAACAATGTTAAAAAGTTCTCTGGGAAATGAACTTGGTTGGTCACGTGATCAAATCCTGTGAAGCCGAAGGGCTTCTCAGAAGATTTGATCACGTACCAACCAAGTTCATTTCCCAGTGAACTTTTTAACATTGTTGTTTATTACTTTTATTTACATTTGAGACGAATATTCTGAAAAGAACAGCATTTATTACACGAACGGCCCGCCGTATTGCTATGTTGTGACGCGCAATGACCTAGAAGCTGTTTGGTGTTGAGAGTTCGCCTCGCTCCAACATTTGAATACTTACATTGATGTTCAGCAGTCCAGTTCAGGAAATATCTGTTCATAATGAAAAAACAATGATCGCTACTGAGAATAATCTTACTTTTATTGTATGAGTTCTTAATATATGAAGTCAAAAGCGGTGGTATCGTCTTCAGTTTACATACCTTCAAAGGAATTTCGGGTTAAAAAGGTAAGCGTGATTTTAGGCTAATAAAAAATCTTCTTCACACCGAAGAAAGAAAGTTCTAATGATCATTTTTTGAACGAAAAAAACACATATGTTTCAATAATTTTATCTTTTACATCACTTTAACGGCTTAGAAGTTCCGAAACCAGTTGTCACCGTGACAGAAATATGTAGACAAGATATCATCTCGCTGTGTGATTCGGTCACACCATGGCCTCTGACCCCCTAATAAGTTCATACAGAATTGAACATATTTTCTCTTCAATAGGTTCATCTAAGAAAAATATTTGCAAATGTAAATAAGAAAAGAAACACCTGATAAAACTCGTAAAAAAATGTAAAAAAAAAAAAAAAAAAAAAAAAAAAAAAAAATGTAAATCTATTTCAGTGTGAAATGTTAAGATAGCGAACAGTAATCATCCTCTAATGAAACAATACAAATTATGAGCAGAGCAAAAACGGACCTCTGAAAACATCAGAGTTGACGTCAGGTGCCTTGGAGGAGTAAGCATCCTCTGCCAACCGGTCACACCCGCCGTTTTGTTTAAGCTAAGAATACTGACTGAATGACAAAATGCACATATCACAGATTTTTGGGTAAGGAGGGAGACAAGAACATTTTAAAAACTTATTATATAAAAATAATACCACTTAAGCAAAAACATTTACCGCTGTGTATTTATAAAACTAATCGAAACCTACATTTAGGAAAAGTGAACAGGTCGATAATTTAGAAAATTTTCAAAGACTAACAGCATCAATGATCCGAAATGCATAAAATTATTAGATCTTGATGCAGTTTACTCAACAGAATTTATAGACGATATGAAAATACCAATTCTATAAATATTTATATTTGATGGTCTTTGTGATTCTTGAACTTTTGTCTTTTTCACATTTCATTCAGGATAATCTGTACGTTGATTAAGTTTTAAGTCCTAATTACAATTTTAATCAGAACGAGTGGGAGTGTTAAATCCTCTGCACGTGACACGGAAGAAACCATGGTTATTATACATAAATAACTCATGTTCCTATTTGCAAAATACGTTTTTCATTATATAATATTAATGTGATCTGCTTGCAATAATTCCATCAAGTTGATGAATAAAAGGATGTATCATACTGAAGGAATGATGATATTCCTTTTCATCCTGGATGTACAAGGTAATTTCCTTATTGTATGAGCACGTTAGGAAATGACTGACAAAATTGTTCTAAAACAGTCTTTAGTGATATATGACTTCTTGTCAGTCGAAGTCAAAAATCTATCAATATGTACACAAAGGTACCATGTGTGTACTACATTTGAAATTTTGTAAAATTTGACTACGTTTGTCTCAAATGCTTCAAAATGTTTTAGTTTTTCTGAAGTGGTGAATAAAATCCAGAAAATATGTTCTATTTTCACTTCATAATTCAATTTTATTAAGTTTTCTTTTTCACATATTTCAATCATATTATCTCATGACACATCTTTGATCAAAACCACCAAGCAACGTCTTGTTTTGTAGTGTCAACAATTAATCTGCAGATGATTCAAATAAAAATGTTTTATTTCTTTATAAGGTTCTTTACGGAACACTCAGTGCAAAAGAACACAGGATTGGAACGGTTTTCAATTCCAATGCTCCAAAAATCATACAATTTATATCAAACATCATATTATTGAGGATGGATTTCAAAAGTTATCAAACTCTGACATGTTCTTTGGATGTCAAGAGACAGATGCCCTTTATTGTGGTGCTAAACTTCCTATCAACCAAAAACTAGGACAAAACAACTCCGCTTTTTCGGCAGCTGTCAGTGATTGCAATGGTAAAATTCAGTGCAATGTGAGTGCTCAATACTTTAAAGACACTGAGGCAGATCTTCGCAAATTATGCAGCCAATCAAACCCATCAGAATTAAAGAAAGCCTCGTTTCGACAAAGCATTGATTATGAATGTATTCAAGGTAATGGTAAAGAAGAGAACACAATTTCTACATTTCTAGACAGTCTTCTACTTTTCTGTTAATTAATATACAACTCTATTTTATAGATTACCAAGTTATCGATATGTGCACCAACAGAAATGACAGCAGAAGTCCCCATGTTTATCTACAGTTATCTGGCGACTGGGGTAGCTGTTCGTGTGACATCATTGGTGACATATCACGTGTCAATATTTTACAGACAGACATGGCTGAAGTGCTCATCTATAATGAAAGTAGACGTTTGTTTCGTAAGAAATACGCCATGAATATTTGTATATTCGTTAAGAGTTTGATATTTTCTTTATCTATAGAAGTCGTCCTTAATGTAAGAAAATAAGAGTCTTATTGTTTACGTTTAATTTATCAACTAAGTCACGACGAGAGTGTGTTTCAATAAGTTTTATGTCACATTTAATACCGGTATGCAATTAATATTTATTAACATTTATCAATTTAAGTTTACCATATACATAAATTAACATTTTTTCTTTAATTTTTGTTTCAATGCTTCAGAGCACCAACACTCTAGTGTTAGTCTCTATGGAGTAGAAGTTCAAGTGATTACTAAGAAGTTGCTCATTCATATACAGGGAAGATCTGCAGCAAGTCGTATACTGATTAAAGTATTAGGTAAAAATTTTATTTTTCCATCTAAGTATTACTGAAATGACTGATATTGTATTGTTTTAACTCTTTGCTTTTTAGGAAACATGACAATTCACTGCGAGGAGTTAAAGTCGATGAGCACTCTTCAGGATCAGGATCCTACTTCTACGCCATTAACCAGTGTAGAAACACATCAGAAAGGAGAACAAATGCTGAGACATAGCTCAATAGGACCAAATGTAACAGATGTGAACAAACCATCTTTGCCTTCCACAATGGGAACACATGCAAGTCGTAAGTTGATAAAACTTTTTTCCGATACTAATGATAAATTGTAAATGAAATATGTTCAAAATAAAAAACATATTATAATGAGAACACATATTGACATTTGTAAAATTTTGTTAAATTGTTCTTTTTGTGAGAGCTTACGTAGTTTAGTCTACAAAATGGTTGACAATTGGCATTTTTATCCCTATAAAACTTTCGATCCTTGATTTTTTTTACCTGTCACTTTTTTGTACAGAAATTCTTCTATCAGGAACAGATCAGATGCTGAAAAATAGCTCAACAGGATCAGTTGTAATGGAGAAATCAGTGGAGTATATCAGGAGAGCATTTCAAGAAAAGAAAAGAACAACCAAACAAGTTCTTTTGTTGATGTCTGCAGAAAGAAATTCAACGTTGAATTCAGTTGAGATCCTAACTTCTTCCAAAAGACGACAGGGAGGTAAATTTTTTGGGAGAAACTTTGATTTCTTTTGCGAAATTATTTGAAACCTTCGTTTAGGCAAAATATGATTTCTTTCGTTTGAAACAAAATCCCTGCTATATTCCGTCCTATAATATATTATTCATGCTCTATTTTTTCAGCAAGCAAGCTATACGACAGTATATTGAATTCGATACAACTTTCATTTGGTGGCATTTTAATTTTACTTGTAATATTTCTGATCTGCAAACAGAGGTATGTTGAATACAAAATTTTCTTCGTTTCTGTGAAACTTTGTATCTTAGTAATGTAGATGTTTGCAGGGTTGTGTTTAAATTTTCAAGTTCTCAAGATACACACAGGAAATGCCAGATAAATTCCTTATAATGACATTTGGCCGTATTTAAGTCAATCTGATCATTTTTCTACAATGGCAAAAATTGCATAGATTGGATTTGAGCCAACTTGCATTTATTGATTCGGACCCACATACGAAAGATTCTCGCTTTGGATGCTGCATGTAGCCTGTTTTATACAGATGAGTGATATATTTAAAATACATTCTGAGCAGCTTAAATTTGTAAGGAGTCTTTGACAAATAATGGCAGAGTCTGTGTCATTCAAATTCAAAACTGCAGTACAAAAATTATATAATGATTGGTCAATTCAACAGAAAGAAAGTTTTTATATGTTCCCTCCAAGAATTAAACTGCACATACAGTGGGTATGATTAACATACCAAACAGAATTCTTGTGTTATTTTCTCTTCTTTTTTTCGCTATATACGTTTTATATTTCCAGCTAGATTGCTGATTAAAAATAGAAAGTAAAATCTTAGATGATTCTATGAATTTCAGATCGCAAGAATCTAACGGGATCCAAGTAAAGGATATGGGAGAAAGATTTGTACTTGTGTTTCCTCCCAAACAAAAAGACTGTAAGAAAAGTATTGAGATTCACCGAGCGGATTGTTTGTGTAATCAATCAGAAAACAGCGAGACGCCAACCTCCCGACAAAACTACACGCCACTACAAGCTCTGAACGAAATTTCAACGTATACCGAACTAAGTCTTACAAATGAGTACATTGATGTTGTTCGGGTGACCTGATCAAATGAACATTGTATTGTAAAGCCTAAATTTGGCTGCAAATTAGACATAAAATAAAACACTTATACGATTGTGATATTTCATAATATAAGGAATCTAAAAGGATCTGTAATAAAGTCACCGTTTTAATTTATAAGATACATGGAGGCAACAAAACGATGAAAGATTATAATGATTTTCCGAATCTCCTCATTTTGGTGAATTTTCATACATATTTGAGATTCTTTTTTTTTTTCGATTTTCAACGCGAGATGTATTTGATACCTCATACCTTAAAAATTTGAATATGTATACTAAATTCCCGAACTCGCACCATCACGGCCAGGAACACGTTAAGTTCCTGGACAGTACCGTTGTCAGAAACCTTTAAAGTTAAGCACTGAAACTGGTTCGTTGTCATGAACATACAGGTGAGGTTATGATAAAATCCGTCCGGTGTCATGGCTTGAGAAGACAGGCTTTGAGAAGTTTTTTTTTCATTTTTCAAGTTAAATTATCTTTATTTTCTCCCTCGTTTCACTCCTCCGAAAATAAATATTTTCTTGACTAATTTATTGAAAAACAAAGAAAAGAATATATTGTAGGTTGTTGCGTTCGTTACAAATCGCTTTTTATTAACACAAATCAATTATACTATTTTTACAAAATAAACACGGTAGCTCAGTCGGTAGAGCGCTCGCTCCGTGATCGGGAGGTCGTGAGTTCGAATCTCGGCCGCGACAGACCTAAGTCGATAAAATGGGTAGCAACTGTTCCTTCGCCATGCGCTCGGCACTTTGAAGTGAAAGTTGTGGGTCATTCGGATGAGACCTTAAAAACCGAGGCCCCGTGTCACGGCAGGCGTTGGCACGATAAAGATCCCTCACGGCTCAATGGCCCTGAGTGCCGAGTAAAGGTCAAAATTTGAAGCCCTTCACCGGTATATGGTGACGTCTCTATATGAGTGAAAAATTCTCGAATGGGACGTAAAACAACATACAATCAATCAATCAAAATAAACAATGCAAGAGAATAAACAATGCAAGGGCTGGGCGGGCCGGGAAAGCCAAAGACACAAAAACTACTGCGATTCTTTGTAACGAACGTCGCATTAATCGAACATTGCCCGGCAAATGTATTTATAGTGAGGGCTAAATCGCTCGTGCATGAAAAACCAGTATTCTTCAGTAAGATACGAAAATTACCGAAGCTAAAAACGTAAAGAAATAAATTTCCCCCTCGTTTCACTCCTCCGAAAATAAATATTTTGTGGACTAATTTATTGAAAAACAAAGAAAAAGAATATATTGTAGGTTGTTGCGTTCGTTACAAATCGCATTAAACAAAGGACAGTGATTGCAATAATATAAATTTTATAATCCAAGATTCATTGAAACTAGTATTTTTTGTTCAAGATTGTCTTTTAGATAACCGTCTTTGGCTTTATCCGTGACCCAGCGAACCATGTATTTTAAGCAGTCAATCTGACACATTATTATTAGAAGCGGCTGTAACTCCGCCGCTGCGTAAACTATGCAATGAATATTTAGAACTGTCAAGGCCAATTTCATTTAAAGATGACAACAATATTTCTCTAGCTCTTGTGTATGACAGAGGTTTGGATTTATTGGAAGCTTTGAAAACATTGAGAGATTTTACAAAGATTAAAGCTGTAAAAAGATAATCGTCGGAAGACTTATCCATCTTTAACATGTCAATGTATTTATTTAACCAAAACACAGGACACAGATCATTTCCAGTTTTTGCGATTATCACTGAGTTTCCTCTTCTATAGATATCTGTTTTACTTCTGGGAATGTTGATATCGATGTAAACGTTTTCCCATTTAATATCGCATAATCGAATATTTGATAATTCACCGAATCTAAAGAATCCGGAAAAACCCAATAAACACATCACAAACGATCTCAATTTCAGCACATTTGAAGGATCCTTGGAAGAAACATGCATTTAATTTACGTAATATATCTGTAGTGATAGGTTCTTTTTTGTTGATAGGTTTTGATAACATACGTCTTCCTCCTTCAAGTACTAGTTTCAGAAACTTGTCCTCGCATGGATTCAAACTTGAAGAAAATTCGTGAGTCCAGCTTTTACTCTAGAAATACGCTTCCAGAACGAATGTTGATACCCTCTGTTGCACCAAACCTCCCATAAAAGAGCGACGCTAGATACTGATGCCAGAAGATGTGTAAAGGAATGCTTCAAACACCAGTCTCTGAATTTAGAGAAATATATGTCGTACTTCTTGTTCGTGGATTGAAAATTTGCGTTTCTCACGATATTAGGCAAAGACTTCACTATATCACTAAAATGGTGATTTTGTTTAAACTTTTCAATATTTATCCACTGGCCTTGATAATTCTTCAATATCTGAAATATATAACAATAATGCACATTAAAATTCAAATCAATTTTGCACCATAGCCAAATGTAGCCACGATAGTATAACACATGCACGTACACACAAAACATTTTATAATCAACATCAAAACTGGAGAGCAGTCCTCCTTGATTTAATTTAAAGAGGCTGGGGGGTTGTGGCCATTTTTAGACTATATTGATCTCCTTTAGAAGAAGAGCTCCATATGAAGATATAGAAAATGATCAAATTTTAAAACTAAAATTTTTAAAATTATTCTTTGCCAAATGATAGTTGACAGCTTAAGATATCATATCTAAAAAATTAAGTTAAATCTGGAGGTTAATTTGTGGTTAATTTGTTGACCCCCCAGCCTCCTTAAGCAGTCATCAATTTATATGATTGTCAGTACCAGAATATTATGTTAATTATAATCTTATATTTGAGTTGCAGTCATTCAAAGTAAACACATCATATCCAGGAGAGCAGTCCTCCTTATTGGATAACAGTCATCCAATTATTTCATTACAATACGCATGCATATTGTACACTGGCTAGCAGTCAAACTTTGTGTACTATCTGTCCATATTTCACAATCAAAGCATGCTAATTGCACATAGTACATTTTTACAGTGACTTAATTACGAAGCATCCAATCTCAGTGCTATAACATTACTGATAAATTTGTGAGATGCAAATATGCTACTTTTATCAGAACCCGAAATGAAAAAAAAATTGTTGGTTTTTCATATTCTATCATATCTTTCACAAACCACAAGAACTTTCCATTCTTGTCGAACAAAGATGGCCAAAAAGCTGCTGATTTCCATTTAGGAACAATTAAGGTGCCCTTAGCCCCGCAATTTAATAAATGTTTTATTGTCCTCCCTATCAAATAAATGGGAGGAACAATCCAATTCAAATCTTGTGACCAGTCAAACGCAAATGCGTCGACGCCGCTTGTTCCAGGAGACCAAAACAAAGAATAAAATTTTTTCACTTTGAAATTGTTGCAACTCGCAAAATTATCATAAGTGTAAGGTCCCCAAACCTTATTGAAAAATGCAAAAATATGATTGCTTATACCCCAATCGTCAAAATCAAAAACTTTGCTGACAAAATCTGCTTCTACGTTTTGATCTCGTGGAACCCAGGCTACAGAAAAATCGATATTTCTAATCAAACAATTTGTGTATATAGAAAAAGCAAGAGTTTGTAAATCCGAATTCATGCTGCCGATCTGCGAAATTCTAACGACGTTTTGATTGTCTATGTATAGTTTTACAAATTTATTTTCTAAATCCCCACCAAAAGATTTCATGAACATTTCAACTGTTTTAAGTTCTCTAAAAGTTGAACTCTGAACTCTGTCTGATTCGTCCCACATAACATGAAAAACTTTCTTAGTAGAATCTATCATCACGCCACCGCCTGCAAAATCACTAGCGTCAGTAAAAGCAATGCGTTCCGGTATGCGATACCATGGAGAAATACCCCTGCCGGGAATTGATAGGCTATTTTAGCTCACACCACACGGGAAGTGAATTATTAATATTTTCATCCCAACATGATGCATTTGCAATTAGCATTGACAATTGTCTAGTTGTTATTTGACAAACAGGCCCAAGTGCAAACTTAAATAAAATAATACTGCCTACTACTGAAGCGAGATCTTTGTTTTTCTTTAAGTTTAATTATCTTACTGCACAAACTTTCTAATTTATGTCGAGGAATACCAATAAACCCGACTTCTAAATTCCACTCAAAACCGAGCCACTCTAATTTTTGAGTTGGATTCCAAACGCTCTTTTCTTCATTAACAAGAAAACCAGCATGCAATAAGTCTTTTTGAATATCCTGTGACATTAAAATACAATTTTGTTTTGAATCGCAAACCCAGCCATCATCTAAATACATAATAACTCCATACGCTTTTGTTCTCAAATGCAATACTAACGGTCTTAATACTTTAGTAAAAATGTAACCCGCACTGCTGAAGCCGAAGGGGAGGACCGTGAATACAAAATAACGCTTTGAGCCATTGAAATTCCAAGAAAACTCCAAGTATTTGTAAAAATCTGGATGAATGTTAACGTGATGACATCCGCTTGTTAAATCAAATTTGGTCATAAATAAGCCTTTTTTGGCAAAATTGAGACCCTCTGAAGTCCCTTCGAATTTGAATTTTCTCTTGAAGACGCATGCATTGACATGTATAAGGTCAAGAATCAACCTTGGCTTTTTATTTAATGGCGCAGAAACGGTCAGTGGATTTACACAATGGGGCGGTTCAAAGCATTCAATCACTAACTCTTTTTTCAACAATTCTAATATGGCCTTTTCAACAAAAGGGGTGCTCTGCAGTGCTGATTTGTTGTAAGACAAAAATACAACTTCAGGAAATGTAATAAATTGTATCCTATAACCAAATCTGATAACATTTAAAATATAATCGTCTGGTTTTATAACATTCTTCCGAAATTCAAAAGAGTTTTTTTAAACGATCTTTAAATGAAATGTTAGATTTTGAATCAAAGTCAGATTTCTGATCTAATAAATGACTATCATACTCAACTTCACTTCTGGTCTGCTGTTGATGTTGGAACAAGTGCTGTTGTTTGGGTTCTCTGGGGATTTGTGAACTGTAGTTGCTGGGTATACGGGCAGAATCTTGCAAAGTGGCCCGGGAGTCGGCAGTAGTGGCAGACGATGTTTGCGACCTGTGTTTGAAGAGGTTTTCTGTAATTGGCCGGACTGGGCGAAACGAATCTAGGGTCGAATTGCTGCCG